CGTTTTGGTCTCAGTTTAACACATCAGATAAGAGCACATTGGCTTTAGACATTATCACTTAATGTTGCTTGTGTGCCCCAAGCCTGGGCCTGCACCTGTCAGCGGCCTGTCAGCCACTCCTGGGCCCACCGCTCTGTGACTCTGGGATATTGGGCAGGCACTGAACTTTACCACCTCGATTGCCTCAGTTTGAAAGAAAAGGAGTCAATACTAGCTATCCTGCCCACATCCTAGGATTGATTCTCGGTGAGGATCAAGCAGAAGCTCTTTGGATATTGTCAAGTGCTGATATCTGCTGGTGTTGATGTTACCGTTACAGTAGCTGAAATAGGAAAGTATTGGTGTTGAAGTAAAGCAGTGCAGTCCCACACCTCGGAACTACAGATTAAACCAGAACGAGTAGAACCTGCCAAAGAAATAAATGTAGAGGGGAAAGGAGACAGGGGCATTCAGAGTACGTGCCCATAGGCAGAATGCAGAGGAATGGAGGGGCTCAGAGCCCGTAGGGCAACCAGGGGAGTGTCCAAAGGATGGAGGCGGGGCAGCCGACAGTTCAAAGTCACCCAGATCCCTGCCTACACAGGTAGGAGCTTGGGTTGTGGGAAGAGCTTCCGTGGACAGCTTGCTGAGGCAGCAGATAAGATCGGTGTCATCGGAGTGTAGATAAGGTGCCGGCGGCTTCCTGCCTCTTCTCTGTAAAGCGGGTGCCCATGTCCTATATCTACCGACTTCCTGTTTGCCTCTTGTCCTCCTAGTCATTTCCTGCATCTCTTTCCTGCTTACAGACCCGGATCCTCTCTTCCTTGGTTTTTCTGATGCTTTTCCCTTCCCAGCTGCAACTTTTGAACTTTGCACACGGGGGAAAGGACCCAGCCTAAAACCTAGAATTGCTGAGTCTGAGCCACTCAGCCAGTTTGCGCCAGTGTTCCAGGCCTTTCTCCACAGCCGCTGCAAAAGCAAACCACCCTGGGGAAACGGGCATTACACCCAGCAGAGTCACGTAGCTGCCTTAATTTGCTGCTTTTGAACCACAGGACTTCAGAAGAGAGGAAGGCCGTTTGGGTTGGGATTGAAGTCAGAGCTGCCGTGGGACTCATGGCATGCCCCACACGTTCGGAGGCAATGAGGGGCCTGTGTGAATACCCTCAGTTTCCAGAGGAGAGAAGCCATTGTCCCTGCTCCTCTTGGGCCGTGCACAGGTCAGGGTCAGGGAAATCTGGCTCAGGGACCCACCCACGTCTTTCCCTCCTTATTTTAAAACTTTGGCCCCACTTACAGAGCTCCCATTTTGCTAAAAGAAGACGCATTCCAGAAACAGCTTGAAAATCCACATCCATATTGGTCTCTACTTTTGTCATTTTCCTTTTTTTCTGATTATAAAAGTAACACTTTATCCACACGGAGACTTGCACACGAATGTTCATAGCAGCATTATTCATAATAGCACAAACCCGCAAACAACCCACTTGTCCACTGACTAGAAATGGATAAGCAAAATGCAGTGCATCCGTACAATGGAACACTTCCAACAATGTGGAGAACAAACTGCTGATACACACTATCACGTGGGTAAACCTCCAAAACATTATCACGCCAAAGAAGCCGGTACAAAAGGCCACCTGTATATGAAATTTCAGAAAATCCATTCAGAAAGGAGATCTCTGATGTCTGGGGATGGAGATGAGAGTGAAGGGTGCCTTCACTCAGGGAACTTTTGGGGGTGATGGAAATTGTTCTCAAACTGGACTGTGGCGATGGTCACACAACTCTATAAAAGTCCTAAGACTTTTCGTATACCTTACATAGGCGGGTTTTATGCCATATATAGCTCGAGAAAGCTGTTTTAAAAAATACTAACACTGGATTTATGTGAAAAATGCCAACACAATAATATGATACAAATAACAGGAAGCAAACATAATACATAATTTCAGAATTGAAAATCATGATGTTCCCACTGCTAAATAATTACTCATGCCACTTGTTAAGGCAGTAAGACAGATTATTCGGGACTCTCACAATAGAGATAGCAGTGATAAGGTATAGGGCAGAGAGACTGGGCTCAACTCCAAATACAAGGAAGAGTGGGAATTTCTAGCCAAAGTCAGTGGAGAGAAAATTACTACAAGGAAACATGAGGGGAAGAGGGAGTCCTGGCTACACTGACCTAACGGGATTCTTGCTGAGACCAGGCCAGGGTGACCAGACGTCACCAGGGGATGGTGCAGAATGACAAACCCCATCAGACGCCGGGGTTGATGGGATAACAAGAGGGTAGGGGATCTGACTAAACCCACCTGACAGGATTTGTGCTAAAATTGTGCTCTTGGGGGACATGCCCAGGGACAGGGCCTAGTTGGGCTCAGAGAAGCCTGACTAAAGTTTGGTCAAGGAGAGTGTCTTCGTCACCACTTCTCAAATCCAAGAACTTCAATAATTTGGTTTATATTCTTCTAGATTTTTCTTTGCATCTATTAACAGAGATGTATGCTCATACTTTTTTTTTTTTAAGAAAAAAGTTGCATTTGTTCTTCGCCATCATAATTTTCTGTTAACAATAGGGCTCCCACGCTGCCTCTTCGATATTTATCTGAGCGTGTGTGAGTCTGAGGCCACCTGGGCCACAGTGTAAAGGTCTAAGCAGTTGTGGGGGCCCAGCCCCACCAGTCTTCCACCCCACAAGCATTCCCCCATTCCTTGCCGAGGGTGGGCAGCATAAAACTAGGTCCCAGAGAAAGGATCTAGAGATTTGTTTTCACGGGACTTCCTTGATCTCCAGTCTAGAGTAAGGGCCAGAAGTGTCCAAACAGGCCTCTGTACAAAGCCTTGCTGAACAACAATGACTAGTGAGTGACTAGGAAGGGTCAAGCGGACAGTAGCAAGTCACAGATCAAGGTAATGATTCAAAAGCAAATAATGGAAAATTGAATATATTGGTATGGCATTTGACCCAAAGAAAAATCCCTACCTTACTTCTAAAGGATAAATGCATTGCAAATCCTTGCTTTCTGCACCAGAGAAAGAAGGTCGGGCTGCTTCAGACTATGCAATTGAGGTACCCCAAGAGTTGGATCAGAAAGATGGATTTGCAAGGGGAGAACATTGGAGGCTTTCAGTTCCCATAAGCACCACCACGGATGGGCTGTCCAGTGGGGAGCTTGTGTGGAAATATCCACTCCCCCCAGGCTCACCATTCAAATGCACAGTGCATGTTGATCCTTAAGGATTAGCAGGGAAGACAGATGAACAGACCAGCATCCCTCTTTTCTAATAACGAACTGGTCCACTACTGAGCTTTTCCATCATGCTGAGATTGCAAAAAAAAAAAAAAAAGGCTACAGGAGCAGAAGTGAATGCAAGCTGAAGTACAGGAAGGCGGTGTCCACGACACCTCAGCCCCAACATGCCTTCTCAGCCTCGCCGCAGTTATGGGAAATGTTTCTGACACCAAATGCCACAGAGCTCTGCAAGTCTCTTAAGGGACAGATTGGAACTGACTTGTATTATCTGGAAATTGACATAAATTGCCTGTTATTAAATCTCACTGAATTGTTAAGCCCAACCTTGCCATCAGAACACCATTTTAGCATCCACTCTGAAATGGTTCTAACTGGATGGGTTATCTCTGTAAAGGTAAAGATATATCGAACCGCCACTGAACAAGGAGGCTTATGCCTATGTGGAAGCAAAGAAAAAGAAAAGGGGACAGGAATGACAGACAAGCCTAACTGGTACTTTTTGATTAACGGTTTCTCCATTAAAAAAAAAAAAAAAAAAAAGCAAGCAACTAAACAATGCATTTGGGACCTGTTAGACATGGTTGGTGTCCGAGCCCATCCTCGGAGGAGATTATAAAACAGGCGCCCTGCCTCACGTCCTGCTGCCTTCCCTTGCCGCCTCCATCCCCACCTGCTGTGGCTCCTTCCCCTCCTGATGCTTGTGCTTCCTGCAGGAGGCCATTCTGGTTTTTGAATCAGGAATCACAAAGACTGAGCATGGAGCATCATTTGCCAATGATGACATTTCGGGCCCCCAGGGGGAAGCATTGTTTCTTGTTGTTGGCAGGGGTCTTCCCACAGGTCGGAGCTGACTGCAGGGGCAGCCACATCATCTGCTGAAGTGTGTTGCTAGGATCACACGTTGTCTACTCCAGACCTGTCATTATTGGCAGCAGTCCATATTCACTCAGGAGCACTGTTTACTGCTCATTCACTCAAGTTATTTATGGAGTGTGCACTGTGTGAGGCTCAACAGAGAATATAAATATGAGCTATATCAAGGCTCAGATCCCACAAGGAGCCTTCCAGAGAAGGAGAGAATGATGACAACTCACCAAAAAGTATCAATAATAATGCAGTGGGAGTCTGGTAGGGGTTGGACTGTGCACCCCTCCCCCCTCAAAAGAGAGCTATGCGGAGTCCTAACTCCCAGTACCTCAGAAGGTGACCTTCTTGGGAGATAGTCTATAAGTAATTAAG